AAACAATGACTTCCTTGACTTCTCCCATGGTCAATAAGTCACAACTACAAGTACTTTACAGTGCCAATTTCATGCTCACTATAATTCCATTGTTTTAACTTACTTCAGCAGAACATCAAAGGGGCAGATCCAGTCCATTGTCTCTTTCATCATTATGACATTACGTGATAGGTGAATTCACGGATGTAGCTAACTTAATGTGTCATTGCTACTTGAAGCAATTAAAGTGCTAGAAATGTGTAGCATTCAAGGATAGCCTAAGATAAGTTTTCTATCTCTGCCTACCATATAATTGTCCAGATTATCTTCTAACTGTTGCCAAAACAAGTAGTTTATACCTGAAGCTAATAAGAATAGTACCGTACATGTGCTTTTGGAAAAAAAAATGACAAATGAAATTTCTGTTTTGGCTAGGTAGCCAAGAGCTACGTGTGGCACTAAATCACTATATTTGTTTATGTTTTGGCTCTGGAGCCTTGCCTAATCACCAGAACCCAGTGGCATGATTTGCTGCAATTGTGAGGTAAGAAACAACCAAAGATGTATAGCAGAAGTCTTAATATAGGCTGTGCATGCAGACTTTGCTTCTAGACTGACTTTGCAGCAATGTGCTGTCATCCCCCTAGGTAACTGAACTACTGAGTCTTCAGCAGTGCTGGATCAATCACTGGAAGTTTGGAGGTGAGCATTTTCCCAATGATAGGAATTCTAGTACCAGGGTCCATATTGAGCCTGACAACCATCTTTCAACTGCTTCTGAGTATTTGAGAACATGCATCACAGTTTCTGCCTGCTCTCCATGTTTTGATAAGGAGGGCATTCTCTAGATCCCTTCCTTGAAACAGTGTCATCTTGTGAGACCTAGGAAGTATACCTTCCTGGCAATGGCCCAATTTTATGGATCAACCTTCCTCCTGAAATACGGTCCCAACCCTGATGGCCTTCAAAAAGACTGTCAAGACTAGCTCCTTGCTTAGGCCTTTGAGTTGTGATGTGCTGGAGCCCTAATTGGATGACTGTGCTATTGCTATTTGGATTACTGTCTTATTGTGTCATTATTATTTGTGGCTGGATGTATTGTAGCTTTGTATTCTTTTCATTGGGTTTTTGCCTTTGGTAAGCTGTCCAGAATCACCTTGTTTGATGTGAATGCCCATATAAATGTTTTAAATGAATAAAGAGGTGTTGAACTGTCTCCTGAAATAGCATTGAACTCACATTAAAAAGCAATCAAACTATTAGCTGATATCAGGCAATGGACTGGAACACACCTGTGCAAAACATTTGTGTAAAACCAGAATGATTTGTGACAGATGGTTAAACTCACTGCCTAATCATCTGCAAAAACTCACTTCCTCCCCAGCTCTGACCCACATTAAGGAAACCGATAGATGGATGCTTTCCTGAAGGCTCTTGATATTTTGGGTAGGGGAAAGAAAAAAATTGAGTCAATCCACCACTAACCTCCATTTCTTAACATGTTCTGTACATAAGTAAGGGCAGCAACTTTTGCTGGTGTTATTGGCAGGGCAGTAATTGTTACGTTTTTATAGTTTTATACTAGCTGAAGAATTGGTGGATAGCGCTTTAATGTGGCTATAAAGAAAAATCTTAAGCCATCTTGACTGCTGTTTTACAAAAAGGCAACTACAAGTATTTTAAATAATTCAAATCAGTAACTCAGTAACTGATTGGCAATCAAAGCATGGACAATCAGTTTTCTTCTGTTCAGGGGCTAGAGTGGTTGAATCCAGGTCACATCAAGATGCTTTTGGCTGATTGCCCTGGATTTGAGGTCATTAAAGGGCCAACTGCACGCCTTAATTCTTTCATATGCTTAAGGCACTCACTTGTCTCTTAAAGGTTCTCCACGGGAAAATCAGCCCAAATATTTATGAGGGGGGGGAAGTACTTTCAAGGGCTGACACATGAGACTTAAAACATTGCAACACATAAGTCAACAATTTTGCTCCTTATCACCTCCCAGCTTCAACTCCCATCCTCGAAGGTTGAACATAAAAAGTTGGTCCTATCCATTCCCAGCATCCTGAAAACTGCAACACGAATACAGGGAGGCTATTGGGTTTTATTTTAATTATTTATTTGTTTTTCACCTTTTTGAACCACCTGTCTCCTTCAAAAGATTTTTTTGAGGTTGCAAGATGTCCACTAGAGATCTGGTAATCTCATTAATCCAAAACAAAAAAGAAAAGAAAAATAAAATAGTCATCTCTCCCATCCCAAGTCAAAGAACTCAGTAATAACAGATATGTGAAAAATGATTACAAGCAGGTGCATGCAAGGACAGAGAGTTTTAAATATAGAAAGAAAAATCTTCATTTCCCTTCCACCCCCTGAGAAGTGTTACCAGAAGAGTTGGCTGAATTAACTGCCTGGAAATTGATTCAAAGGTGACAAATGGGAAAGCCACAATCCTTGTGGGCTGACATGATATGAGTGGGTGCAGTTTTCATGTCGAGAAGAGCAGGTCTATATTGGGAAATCAGTTACTTGCTGGGTGTTAAGGTGGGCTGAAGTCTGCTGGAGCTTTTCTCTTTCTGTCCCCAAACATTTGGCTGCTTTTCTGTTTCCAGTTCTCAGGCTCATGGACAATTTTAGAGATTGGCACATGGTGGTATAAATTTTTTCAGCCTACTGAATGACAGACTTGTAAAAAGCAAGGAAGGAAGGCAGAAGAGGAAAACACGAGAATATTCAAGTCTACAGTACTTATTGTTTCTAAGTTCACAACATTGCTCTCAGCAAGACTTAGATAGGCACAGGCTCCTTCACAAAAGGGGAGGAACTTGGTTGTATTGGATAGTCCATCTCACTCAAGATCCTCAAAATCAATGAAATTGCTTTTCTACTCCTGCAGCTTTAGAGCAGACTTTCCTAATCAAGCCTACTTCTGTCAATTCACCACGGCCAACACACCATGGCCAACTCGCCCCAGGACAATTTGCCATGACCAATTTGCCATGGGACAACTTGCTGCAAGACAAAAGTTACACAATATCGAAGAAATGGTGAAATAGAACCATTAAAGAAAGGATGCAAAAGGAGGGACAAAATGAAATGTGAATGAAGAAAATTAAAATATTTTTAAATTATTTTAAATAATTAAATAAAATTGTTGAATTTTCCCACAGTGAGTTGTCCTGCAATGAATTGGCCATCATGAATTGTCCAGTGGCACGTTGGCCATGGCAAGCTGGCCATGGTGAGTTGACCATGGTAATTGGTGAGTTGACCATGGTAATTGGTGAGTTGGCCGTGGCGAGTTGTCCCATTCCTAGCTAAGATGAATCACTCTTGATGAAAGAATTGTAAAGTTACTGATCTTTCTAGAACTGCTTCAGGACAGCATGAGATGAAAATAAAAATTGCAACAGATATTTTCGGGATACCAATAGAAGAAAATATTTGTAACTCAACTTGAACTGAGGGGTCCTTGATACTCTCAGGTTGGTTGTTTTCTTACGGATGTTTCATTATCTGACTAGGTAACATCATCACTGCTAGTAACTGTTATCTGGCCAAATATTGAAGATCTGCAAGAAAACAATCAACTTCAGAGAACACCATGGACCCCATATTTTAATGAGTCCCTCTAGGAATTAATCTGTTAAAGTTAGGGTTTTGTTCCAGTAAGCCATTTGAAAAACACAACTGTCCCAAATGATTGTGGAGATTTGAGATCTAAAACTAATCCATTTAGGATAAGTTCATTGGATCGATTACTAGGGCTGAAGTATTAATCTGAGACATTAATCCCTCTTCATGATCAGCTACATCACAGGCCCATGTGAAGCATGTTGCTGTCATTGAAATAGGGCATTTCTATATCTCCCAATCCTTCCAAGAAAGCACCCTGCTGTAAAAATCTGGGAGCATGATGCAAACTTCTTCCTAACATTGCAGTATAATATGCTTTTGTTTGTCAACTTTGGTTTGCTTGTTCTGGGGAACAATGGACTGGGATTTCGCCCACTTCTGAACTGAAATGTTGTCCACCCATCTTTGAGTCACCAGAAAACTATACCAGCATGAAATTATTGTCTTTTTGATGCCTATACTGCTTTGTTCTTAATAACTATGGCGCCCTGACTTCCTTTCAAGATAATGGGTGTGGAGATAGAAACTTTGGTAAAGATATTTGAGTTAAGCAAATTATGATGGTATAAAGTCATTCTGAGACCTTATTGGAGGTTATGTTATGATTGTTGTTTCCTAGAATAATTTATCAAAACTATTGTGGAAGAGCGGAGAAAGGATTCACTTCCAAAATTCTATTCTAACTCCAAAATTCTAACTCCGTTCCAAAATTCTAACCCAGAATGAAAGGAAAGAAAACATGTTTCCGTTCCATTGTCCTAGTGGACAATCACCTAAATATGAGCCAGCAGTGTGCTGCAGCTGCCAAAAAAACCAACACAGTGCTAGGCTGCATTAACAGAGGGATAGAATCAAGATCACATGAAGTATTAATACCACTTTACAATGCCTTGGTAAGGCCACACTTGGAATACTGCATCCAGTTTTGGTCACCACGATGTAAAAAAAATGTTGAGACTCTAGAAAGAGTACAGAGAAGAGCAACAAAGATGATTAGGGGACTGGAGGCTAAAACATATAAGGAATGGTTGCTGGAATTGGGTATGTCTAGTTTAATGACAAGAAGGATGAGGGGGGACATGATAGCAGTGTTCCAATATCTCAGGGGCTTCCACAAAGAAGAGGGAGTCAAGTGATTTTCCAAAGCTCCTGAAGTCAGGACAAGAAACAATGGATGGAAATTAATCAAGGAGAGAAGCAACCTAGAACTAAAGAGAAACTTCCTGACAGAACAATTAACCAGTGGACCAGCCTGCCTCCAGAAGCGATGAATGCTCCAACACTGGAAGTTTTTAAGAAGAGACTAGATAGCCATTTGTCCGAAATGGTATAGGGTTTCCTGCCTGAGCAGGGGGTTGGACTAGATGACTTCCAGGGTCTCTTCCAACTTTATTATTATTATTATTATTATTATTATTATTATTATTGTTGTTGTTGTTGTTGTTGTTGTTGTTGTTGTTGTTATTGTTATTTTAGTGAAGAAATCACTAAAATCACTAAACTTCACCCAGTGGAGTTTGCCTTTAGTCTTGTGACCAAAAGAAAAAAGAAAAAAATATGTACACTCAATAAATTAAATCATATTTAAGTGTATACATGTAAAGATTTAAATGATATGACTGACTTTACAGATAGTTCTCAACTTACAATCACAATTGCTTCCAGAATTTCCATGGTTAAGCAAAAAAGTTGTTAAGTGAGTTTTGCTCCATTTGGTGGATCTTTCTTGCCACAGTTGTTAAGTGAATCACTGCAGTTAAGTTAGTAACATAGTTGTTAAGTGAATCTGGCTTCCCCCATTGACTTGGCTTTTGCTTGAGTTCACAAAAGTTGATCACCATCATAAATGTATGCCATGTGCCAAGCATCTGAATTTGATCACGTAACCATGGGATGCTGAAACGATTACAAGTGTGAAAAATAGTCACAAGACACTTTTTTCAGTGCTGTTGTAACTTCAAACAGTTACTAATGAATGGTTGTAATTCAGGGATTACCTGTACTTTGTTTGTGAGAAGCTAACATCAGAAATAACTCCAAATAATTTTCATTTATTCACAACTTGTTCATTTACTATAGAAAATCACAAACTAAATGCAATAGATAAGCCAATTTTTAAAATTAAATATTCTAATTAAATCCACCCCAGGAACCTTCTGGGTGGGAAAATTCAAAAGTAGTATCTATGATTCTGAAAGTATCTTTGGATACTAAAAAACAGAGGCAAAACCTTTCACTGTAATTTGTGTAATCTTGATTTATTAACTTGTGTAATAAAGCTTATATTATCATATAGATACATCTGCTCAGGTATATTTAAGAAAGGAGAAATGTTCAATGAAACAAGACAAAGTGCAAACATCTAAAATGGATTTTTTGAGGAAAAAATGCTGCTCAATGGAACAAAATATCCTGATTTAGATATAAATCTGCTACAGTCTGGTAGATAATGTATCGCTCAATAATTTTTATGCAAATTAAAGAATAAGGATCAAATCCCTTCCCAGCTTTGTAACAATGGGTCATTTGTTAAAGCAACTAGCATGATTCTGAGTCTTAATAATAGTGTTACCTCACAACATGTTTTTGAATATCCAATATTTGAAATTGGGGCATGATTTTAAACAATTTAATATTCAACATGTTATTTTTTTGTTTTGTTTTGGGTTTAGTTTTGCATTTTTCTTTCCTTATGTTGTTGTAAATCTTGACACACTGTTTCAATACAATAATATGTAGACAGTATTATAGTATACATATATTATATTGTTTAGATAACTTAGAGTATTGGAAATTAAAAAAGAGAAAAATATTCTACCATTATTAATTGTAACTTAAGATATCAGTATTACAAGCATAAAGTGATTTTTCATAAAAAAATTGAATATAACAGAAGAAAAGAAACTGCTGCAGATTACATCAAAATATTTATTATACAGTAATGGATTTGGTCTTAAGTTGGTAACTTAGTATTGATTATCTCCACTGTATAATTGTGTAACGTGTATTTTTTTTCCTGTTCAGTTGTGTTTGATTCTTGGAGAGGTCTGCAATTTTCTTGACAAGTCCCTGCGGTTTCCTTGGCAAGATGTTTCAGCAGTGTTTGCCACTGCTTCTTTTCTAGGGGTTAGCAAATATAATTGGCCCAAGGTCATCTAGCTGGCTTTGTGCCCAAGATGGGACTAGAACTCCCAGTCTCCAGCTTTCTAGCCTGGTGCCTTAACCACTACACCTACTGCTAACTTATAAATTGCCATATTGCATGATATATTGTATTTATGGGATACAATAGAGTGGAACCATTCTTTCTTATATTTGCTTCCATATATGGTGATAGTTTTGCCATTGCTGCTTATTCTCCAAGTTTAACTTCCCAATTAGATATTGTCAGAATAGTATCTCTCTTCCAGAGTATTTGACATTTTAGAATGTGGGTAAACAAGCTTCTAGTTTTCCTAACATTCCTTTTTAGGAAAACAAATCCTATATATAATGTTAAATATGTCCCTCTCTTCCCAGCAGTTAAAAACAATTACATTGAAGCCCTCTGGCAGACTTAAATACCTGCCTTATATAAAGGCAGAGATGTGAAGTAAGCAGCAGGTGTTCCCACAAGGCACAAGATCTTCTGTTCCATATCAAATATGGGGCTCTACACTTCCAAAAGTCTTCCAGCCAACTCGTGGGTGATTCACATACATACACATCCCTGAGTTAACTTGCTTCTGTTTTGGAATTTCTCATAGGTATCTAGTTGTTACCAAGTCTAATAACTGAATAATGGTGTAGGCTGATCTTTGATCTTACCCACTGAATTGTTTTATTTATTAGTTAAATTTAAAAAGCCACCCAGCTGATCACAACTCTGGATGGCATACAAGCTAAACGCCTTTATAAAGGTTTTTTTTTTGAAGCTACACAAAGAGCTCCTATTTTTAGAATCACAGTGAATTTCTTAGCAGCAACTATATTCCAACCAATATGTTTTTCTGATCTGCTAAGCAATATGTTCCATCTAAACTGATTTTTAATTTAAAGCATTGGTGGGAAGCTGACCATGCATATCTTAGCAACCATCTTATAGTTGACTATAATATATTGTCCAAATTCCAGATGTGTCCATTGGGCTAAAAAAAGATTGGGGAGCTCTTTACTAAACATTAGTTGACTCATCTGTCAAATAATCCGTCCGATAGCTGTAATAATAAAAGGAATTAAAGAAACAGAACTATCCATACAGTACAGTGTATGCATACTCTACAAAACAGTCTATAATCTGGAGCAACTGGGGTTGACTGAAGTGACTCTGGAGATATATGCATGCTCTTGGCAACAGCAGATATGGTGGGTTTAGCCAATGTTTGCCACTTCTGAAGGTGCGCTGTGTTGCTGGATGTGAAAAAGAAAAGAGGAGGAGGAAGCTGCACTATGAAAGGACACAACATGGGTTGACACAGAACCAGGGCACGGCTTAATGCAGATTTAGGAAGGATTTCAAAAACCAAACACAGAGTGTATTGTCAGGTAATTACTGTATGTGCCTGTTTAGTCTGCTATCCATATGCTGACTGGTGATGGAGTATTTCAAGATATTTGAAGCTCTATTCCTATAGTAACTTTAAAAATTGGTCTTGAACAGCCTGACAAACAAAGAGGATCTCCAGATAAAAAGCTGTCTTCTAACAAGCCTTAAGCAGAGACACACATTCCCCTGAAATTGCTAGGAATAGGAGTTTTTCATTTCCTTATTTTACAAATAGCAAGCATAGCTTGGAGCACTGAACTTTTCCCTTCATTTTCCAGTTGCAGTCCCTAAAGCTCAAATAATCCTCAGGTTGTATTTTTCATGAAATGTCAAAAACAAATGGACATCAATAAACCACGTTAAGGAAGAAGTGCAGTTCTTGAAACTTCTCAAAGACGTTTAAGCACCTCGTGGGAAGTCTATTTCTCCATTGTTTTCAGTACTATTATCACACGTCAGTAGGTCTTACATGGCTTTCTTGAGTAAAGATTTTTCAGTTTTCTGTAGAAGTTTTCAGTTTCAGTCATGGTTCAAATATAATTTTATTTTTGTAAGAACACTGGGTTTTTTTGACAATGCATGTCAGTCGTAGATCAGTGCCACTGAAATGAAACACTTGTTTCCGACTTTTAAAAAACATAATGGTGGATTAAAATGTTCTCTTCAATTTAGGCACAGGTATCTCCCAGCACTCAAAAGAGTAAGTAAGGCTTGATTGCAAAATAAAAATAAAATAAAGAAGGATTTACTTTCAATAATTAAAGAGAAAATTTCTCAGTGAAAAGGCATAGGGAATTGTTAACCAAAAGTGAGTTTATACAATAGAAAAAAGTAATCCGAATTGCTCTCAATAAATTTTGTTATTCACAACATATATCATGATACAGGTAGTCCTTGACTTATGATCACAATAGGGACTGGAACTTCTGTCACTAAGCAAAGTGGTTGTTAAGTGTGTTGCACCCAATTTTACAACCTTTTTTTTTTGCTCAGTTAAGTGAATCACATGGTTATTAAGTGAATCCAATTGAATTTGCTTGTCAGAACCAGCTCAGAAAGTTGCAAGTTGTAATGTGTGATCACATGATCCCAGGATACTGCAACCATCATATATACATGCCAGTTGCGAAACATTTGAAATTTGATTATGTGCCTGTGGGGACACTTTGCCAGTCATAAGTGTGCAGCTAGATGTAAGTCAATTTTTTAGCATAATCACTAAACGAATGATTGTAAGTCGAACGCTCCGTGTAGCAACAAGAAATACAAATTCACTTCATTATCCATTTTTAAAAACTATTTCATTGTAGGGGACACAGGAAAACATGTTTCAAATAAAGTCAAAGTTTACATTAATCAAACTGATTCAGTAATATCCATTATATCAGTATAGAAATATACTGATAGCATAAATACGGTGTGTGAACAAAAGTCAAAGCACATGGAGAATTTTTATATAAATTCAAACTGGTTATTTTCTCCTAAATACTTATTTGTCCATTTGACACATGACCTTTGAACATGGCTAAGTACAGTAACTTTTTTTCCTGAAAAAATGTTAATAACATTAATAAAATGTACTATGATTGACCTGTGGGCCTGACTTTTGACACACATTGTATTTATTCCAATATTAAAAAGGGTTGATCCAGTATCTACATAGGGGCAAACTATGTAACCCAATGTGGTCAGCAGCCCTCATGCTTCTTCCCCCAGCTCCCAGTGTTCTGTTGTTTGGATGGTTGATGGATGTAGGAGATAACATGAACCAAATCACTCATTTTACTCTTCAAAACTCTGGAGCTTCTCTCTCCATATGGGCCCTATCCCAATCTGTTTTGTACTGTGGTCCTCTGCACGCAGTCTGGGGAGCCAATGTTACTAATTCACTCACACTTTTTCGCTTCCTAAAATCAAAGTTAAGCCCTTGATTCCTTTGGACTCAAATGTAAACCTCAATGCATTCAGGCAATACAACCTTATTCCCAAGAAAAGATCCATTAGGTTACAATTAAAGTTCTTACTTCAGTTTCTAACGTAAGTTAACTAGACTAAATATAATCCAAGAATGCCCCATTTTTCTGAACAACTTGCAAAATATGAGTATGGGAAATGACATCAGTTGACTTATATTTCCTGCTCAGAAGAAGGAACCTTTAATTATGATGTCCAGAGGGTGGTGGTTTCTTTCCATTTTAGGTTACGAAATGTACATCCTTCAGTTGGCATTTGTCACTTTCAGAATGACATTATTCATCCATGCACAACCCAGAGTGGTCTAACTGCACATAGAAGGAAAGGGGCTACACTAGCACTACTTCCTGTTTGTTGAGACTGCATTTTCTTTTTTTTGGTCCTTCCCATGAAACAGCAAAAAGTGAGGAATTCTTGGAAAAGCTCCAAAGTGATTCTTTATTCAAACCTGCCTTGTGCCTCAGCTTGAACTAAGCAGATTATTGGCTAAAGACATAACCCTCTTTATGTAGTTCAACATTTGCTTTGATCACATTAAATTTGTCTTATATGGGAGGAACTACTTCAGGAACTGAATAAAAGATATACTTCAGGAAGCTGTACCTAGAGTGGTTCTAAATCCAGGTAATTCTGTGTTACAAATTCAGAATGTTATGCCTTCTTCATTCATGTCTTTTTCTTTTTTTATTTCACCACACTAAACTTATTATCCAAAAAGCAAAATAAAATAGAATAGAAATAAAATATCGACACAATCTTAAATATGTATAGAAGAAAAAACAAAGACATAGAAATATTGTATATTGAACAACCACAAACATGTTGATCATAATGCTTGATATTTTTCTTGATTCTTTGTGGGGAAAAAATAATTCAAATGTTGACAAATAATGCATAACAATAACTGTAACTCTTCTAATATAGCCTCTATGGCTCTTTGTTATCTTGATAGACTTCAAGTACTTGAGGATATAATCAAGAAGAACATATGCATATTTCATATGTAATAGTTGATCTACAGCTATATTAACAAACTTATAATGGCACAATAATTGAACAAGAACAAACATGTTAACTCAGAAGTAAGTAATTCTTATTTATTTTGGGGAATGGTCTCCCTAAGTCAATTTTTGCTTACAATGGGCCAACACGTCTAATGATAAGAAATGCTAGGAACTGTAATTCAACATCTTGAGAGCTACAGATTCCTTATCGCTTAAATGCTACTCAAGCATTAGAATATCCAGAACCCTTTCTCTGCCAGTGTTATATAAATGATATAGGTAGTATAGGTAGTCCTTGACCTATAACTATAATTGAGCCGGGAATTATTGTTGTAAGTCATTGTGGTCATATGTTGAAGCATCATGTGACCAAACTCAATTTTTTGACATTTTTTGCAACAGCCTTTAAGCAAATACAACCATTGTTAAGCAAGTACGGCAGTTATTAAGTGAATCAATTTTGCCCAGAAGCTGGAAATTGGCAAAAAATATCACAAATTATGGTCATATGACTATATGTAAAGGTGAGCCTGTTGCCAAATACCCAAAATGGGAACACATGACTTTAAGAAGGGTGAGTGCGACCATCAGAATTTAAAAAATGGGTCCTTAGTAACTTCAGGGTGGGTCCATTGTAACTTTGAACAATCATTAAGTGACTAGTTGTAAGTCAAGGACTAGATGTACAAATGTAGGTGTGTTGTTCCAAAGCAAAGACTGCATTATCATTGTCTTCAGAAGCTAATATATATAGTTACATGCACAGATGCTGATGTGTTGAGTGTTCTAATATTCTAACATAGTCTAAAAGGGACTTTAGCACTAATTATTTTTAGTAGTCACTTAGAAATTTAACCACTAGTATTATAGGTTGTTAGATATATTCATAATATGCTATATAGTTCCTGTCTCATCCATGGAATTAGAAATAAGGAAAAGGGATTTCCCTTCCCCATGCATACTTGCAGTGAAATAAAAATCAGCATTGTTAATAACTTCAGGCACACAATAGCACTGTAGATAAGGGTAGGCAGTTCCAATTTCACTGTAGAGCATCTGGACATCTTTCCCACCCATCACATTGCTGCAAGAGCTGATATAAGGTATTATATATATATTATATATATATTTTATGCAAATTTTCCAGCATATATATATATGTGTGTGTATGTATATGTGTGTGTGTGTGTGTGTGTGTGTGTGTGTGTGTGTGTGTGTGTGTGTGTGTGTATTAAATGTTCTGCATTTGCATTAACAAAATCTACAGGAGAATAATAAGCCAGAGAGCAATAACGTGTTATTAAAACAGAGAAAAAAATATTTGGTGTGATATTAGCCATTCAGATATTGCTCACCCCATTATTTTTAGAGATTCCTGTTTTGTTTTGTTTTTTCTGGCTGGGTCCAAATGATTAATTTTGTCTCCAAAACAAAACACTGCTATGTAAGTTGCTGTTAGTCTAGTCTTGTGGGAAACTGATGTTAAAATAGTTACGTGCTCTATGCAAACCAGAACCAGGTTCACATTAGAAGAGCTCACTGGCAAAGTATCCTCATAGATCAGGGAGTGAGATCCATACTGATGTTTCCCCCTTTTACTTTCTCACCAATCCATTTGCTTCTGGCTTTAGCTGTTGGCAATTGCTGGATATACAATGCCTGTTTGATAACTTTAAGACCTAAACAGGCTAGAAAATTACTACATCTGATCCAAATCACCAGGGAAATTGAAAATAGGATTCAGTTTTTTAGTTATCGCCAACGCCACCAGATAACCCCATGGACAGAGGACTGGTTGGATGGATGAGTTAATAGCTAGAACTGTTGCCTACTTCTTCTGCTCTCAGATGCCTGGTTGAACTGCTTCTGCTGTCAGACTTGATTGAATAATGGCTAAATTGGAATTTAACTCCTAAGTTGTCTAAGGTCAAATCTGTCTCCTGCTTCACACTGAGACCTACATATATTTTCCATCTGTACTGATATTAAATAGATGTGGAGTTCTGTTCATTTCAGTGGTTCAAACTTTTCTTTGCGATAACACACCAATAAACTGAAAAGTATTAGTGGAAAAGTATTTAGTGTATTCTCCAGGATATGGTATATTATACTGTATTATACAGGGCTTTTTTTGTCATAGAACACCCATAACGGAGTTCCGGCACCTTTTTTGGATGGAACCTTGTAGGGTAGGCAAGGCGGGTTGTATGACATGTGTGAGTTCCAGCACCTGTTTTTTTTTTTTTTTAAACAGAAAAAGCACTGGTATTATGAATAGGGAGAGGATAATTTTAAACCTCACTGGCTGATGTTTTCTTCCAAAGATTAGCTTAAAATTGTTACTATTGCTAAAAACTATTGGCCAAATCTCCTGATGGAAAGCTCTTAGCAGTTCTACCAAGGATTTCTTCCTTTAATCCAGCTGTAGAAAAATATAAAAGAGGGTGCTTTGGAGCTTCTATTTAGAATTAACTCTTTGTTCTTTCTTCTTCCATTCCCCCCCTTTTTTTTTTCTTCAGGGGAACAGACTTCATAATTTTGTGAGAGACATAAGTAAAACACACCAGAGTGTATACTCCTCCTAGGGTCACCCAAAGTATAAAGGCTATTTCAGTTGCCCAAATAAAGGAAGCAGTTACCTGTAATAAGCAGCATCAATATAGGAAGATACTAGAGGCAGGTAATCACCTTAACGAAAGCAACATAAGCATCATTACATACTGGGTGGGGGAAGTCAACAGTAAACCACTCCTGTATTTTACCAAGAAAACCATATGGGTAGACAAGATAAAGTGACTGATGATAGGGGCCTCAGTTTCAATGATACTTAACATACTACTAGTGTTTATGATGTGACTAAAGTAAAACCTTTCAGGCATCTAGTTGCTGATATTACCATCCAGGAAAATATAATTTGAAGCTTCAAAAGCATAATTTTAGTGGGAACATGGAATATAAAAAGCACAAACGTGAGAAAGTTCAAAGCGAAGATGAAATTAATTTTGTTGACATTTTGAGTACCAACAAATTCAAGTAGATTGAAGTTGAACACTTTCAGTCCAAAAAAAAAATCATGTTTACTACTCAGGGTATGAAAAATAAAGAAAAATATTTCATAATACAGAAGAACTTGGCAAAGACAGTCCTTGAGTATAATACAGTAAATGGCTGAATAATATCAGTTAGATTTTGCAGACAACCCTTTAATATTATGATTATTCAAATTTATGCCGCAATCATTGGTGCAGAAAAAAAAGATGAGTTTTATGACCAAATTCATTCTGAAATGGATAAAACAAGCAAATAAAGTTGTGCTACTTCTGGTTGGACACTGGAATGCCAATGTGGGAAATAGTAAGAAGGAAAATGCAGCTGGGCTTTATGGACTACAAAAGAGAAATGAAGCAGAACAACTTATCAACTTCTGCCAATCTGATGGTTTCTTCACTGATAACACCTGTTTCAGTCAAGCCAACAGCACCAGATGGAGCACACAGGAATCATATTGACTATATTATTGGTACAAGAAGAAGAAATATTGAGTTATAATAACAAAGGCATGATTGAGGGCTGATTGTGGAATAGATCACAAATTGTTTATATGCAAATTTCAAGTCAAGTTAACATGGAGGGACAGAACCAGCTAGTTTCCATAATATGATCCTGAATATATATCTACCATTTTCAAGAAGAACACCAGAAACTGCAATTTACTTCTGAACCTTATTAATAGATAGCCAGATGAATTGTGGAATTAAATCAAAGGATATAATGATGCGTGGGGATGACCTTGAGAGACAGGGAGAAGAGAGGGCAGCCAGAGGCAACTTAGATCACATGAGGAATGTGCGCAGGGCAAAACAGCTCAGAAGCAATACTCCCCAGTTTCTTTGGGCTGTAAAGGAGACTGGACAAGCGATAAAGGTACTTTCAGATTTGCAAGATTCTGTTACTGTAACCTTACAATAAAGTAGAATTGGCTCATCTGGTCATGCTTCCTGTCTGGTCTACCTCAAAAGACTGACAAAGAAATTGTTAAAGATGAATGTGAAAAGATATTACCACAGACCCAGAAACAGAAGACAGGAAACTTGGTGTTAAAAGAAATGCTAGAAATTACCCAGAGGAGAGAAGCAAAACCAAGAAAGATTGCAGCAAGCTCAGTTTGGGTACTCCACGGTTTGCTGATGTTAAGCTGCACCTGTTTCCAGTTTCTTTCTGGGTGCAATCCAAGACGTCAGTTATTAAAGCCTGAATTACTTGTGGGTACAGGCCTGGTTACTTGTGGGACTGCCTCTCCCTGAAGGAATTTGCCTTCTCCACCTGGTCTGAGAGGGTAGGTGTATTCCAGGTCCCTTCCTTAAAGTTGGACCTATTCAATGCACCTTTTTGATAGCAGGCACTACTCATTGGAACACTCATCCCCCTAAGAAGTGGCAGGACTTTACCCTCCTAGTCTTCCAAAAAGCCTTGGTCTTTTCTTGCAAGCATAGGAGTAGTTTGTCACTGGAGACCAGAAAAGTTCTTTGTTGGACATGAGAGCTGTATTATTTTGGGGGATGTACTTATACTTTTATTTTTATTTTTATTCTTTTTATTATTGCTTGTAAGCTACTCAGGACTATGCTACATAAATTGGATGGCTCTGTAAACCAGATAGATAGATAGATAGATAGATAGATAGATAGATAGATAGATAGATAGATAGATAGATAGATAGATAGATAGATAGATAGATAATAGACAGACAGACAGACAGACATGTGGAAGACAGACAAAGAGAGACAGAGAGAGATGTAGATCTCAGGAAGAAATTTACCCATTTCAGAAAGAAATAGAGCAGTATAATGATAACATCTGTAAAGACATCGAGAGTAGATAAAGAAAAAATCCTCAAAAACATTTTCCAAATGATACCTGAAGTCAAAAGTGGCTCCAACTTCAAATCGCTGTGGTAAAGAATGCCAATGGGTAGATAGTAACTGATTCAGAGAAGATCAAATAGAGATGGAAAGAATATATATTGACATTCTGTTTAGTAGATTGTCAACACTCATGAAAACTTAGCAATTTTTTTTACAATAGTCTCTAGTTCTAATCTAGGCAACAAAGGTAGATCAATATACTGGAAATTACCAAATTGAAAGGCTACAAGAATTGATAGAACATTTACAGAAATATGGCAAGTAACAGAAAAAGATTCTTTAACAGATTGTGCAAGCTATTAGATTATACTCTTAATTTCACATACCAGCAAAACAATGGTTAGGACTGCCAACCATAGGAGTACATAATAGGAGGTGCCAGATATTCAAGCTGATTTTAGAAAAGTGTGGGGAACAAGAAACATTGCTAATGCACAATGGTTAATTGAGAAAGCCAAAGACTATTCAGAACAAGTCAACATGTGTTTTGTTGACTATAGAAAGGCCTTTGATTGTGTTATTCATACCAAGCTGGGGAAATTCCTTTGGAAATTGGGAATCCCACAATAATTCATTGCCTAATGCAAAATGTTTACATAAGCTAGGAAGCCACAGTGTAGATTAGGGGTTCCCAACCAGAGGTGCTCGCACCCCTGGGAGTGCGAGACAATATTCCAGGGGGAATGAAAACTTAGGTTTAGAAGTTCCAAATTATTTTTTATTTTCACATCATTCAAAATTTGTTTAAATAAGTTTATTACTTTTGTAAGGGGTGGAAGAATATATCAGAAGCGTTCTAGGGGTGCGGGGTATAGAAAAGGTTGGAAACCGCTGGTCTAGATGGAACATGGTGAAACAAATCGACTCTACATCAGTAACAATATGAGACAAGGCTATATGTTTGCTTTTCATTTATCCAAATTATATGAGAAATATATATTGAAGGAAATTAGGATGGAAGAAAATGAGTGTTGTTTTAAAATTGGAGGGGAAAAAACCCAGCTCCAATAATGAAAGCCAAGAAGCACAATGAAAGGACTACAGTTAAATATAAAGACCAAATTAATTACAGCAGGTTCAGCAATCAACCATGAAAGTACTGAAGAGATGGCTAGCTTCTGCCTTTAGGATTGACTACTAATAATAAAGGAACCAGTCAAGAAATATATTGCAAACTAGAGTAACAGTGAAAACCTTGAAAAAGGCATTCAGATGCTGCAATGGGGCTATATGGACAGAAGTAAAGTCATGTTATAATAAAAATAATCTATACTTGGGCAATTCTTTTTCTACATGAAGAATGCTATTTTAAAAAAATAAAACAGCTTCACATTTAACCCTGAAACTACACAAGTGTCAGTTCTTATTTCTAGCTTACAAGGTTTGCTGTCATATAGAATTCTATTCCTAGGAGAGTTTATGAATAACAAATACCCATACTGAAGGGTATTGTATGGGGGGTGATATGAATAGTACTAATCCATTTTTACTCAAGTTACAAAATTGTGAGAAGACATCGCTCCATGTACCATTTCTCCACCTAGTAGAAATGGTTGCCAGTGAATTAGATTATGGAAAGGAGTCCACTTGATATACTGATGTAGTATCATTTGCTTTTTTAACTAGATATTTACTGGATATAGGACATCTAAGTATGATGAATTGATGCTCTGTCTCTCACATAATGACCAATTAGACCAGGGGTGTCAAACTCAATTTCATCGAGGGCTGCATCAGCATTGCGGTTGCCCTCGGGGGGTGGGGGTGTGTGGCCAGGATGGGTGCGGCCTACTGGGTGGGTGTGGATGGAGTGGGGGTAGCCTACTGGGTGGGCATGGCCAGCTCTACATCATTCGCGTCAAGGGTGCCTGTGGGGGCCTAGGCAGGAGTGGGACAGATCTGAGGGTCTCTGGCAGAAGGGGGTGGGACCGGGGCAAGCGTCAAGGCATGGTCCATTTCTTCTTTCCTCACAAAGGGTGATACCTCCCCAGCATGCACCCAGGGAGTGGGGCCAACATGGCAGGTGCTGGTTCCTCGCTGTTTCTAGACAGCTTTGTGGAGCTAAGACTGAATACGTTTCAACATAGATGGCCACCACAAAATTGTACATTGGCTCCCAGCCGGCCTGGGCCAGGGCCAAGGCAGTGGAGGCCGTTCCCTCACTGTTTCCAGGATGGCTTCACGGACCACATGAAACCACTTCGCAGGCTGCATCCGGCTCCCGGGCCTTGTGTTTGACATGTCTGAATTAGACTGATGGTTCCCAGTCTGGCATGCTCTGGATTTACTGGCAATAAAATAGTCAGAATACCTAGATAGTATATCTAATGTGAGTTGGAGTTGTAGCCCATCTAGAAACGAAGGCAGAGTTAGACTCTAATTGTAGTCAACTTCAACCAAGCCTATGGAAATGAACCAATGATTACTATTTGGTTTTCTCATATAACCTAACAAAGCCAACCCAGTAAAATGGAGATTGCCTCAACATATAAAAAATATTTTAGAGCAATAAGTGACTCTGAAGTGTGTAATGCATATATGTGAACAGAGCAAATTATGCAGGTGGATATCAAGTTTTGAAGTGCAGGGAGTATATTTCAAAGGAGATCAAGTACAGCATGTTTCTTTCTGTTTATATCTTAACCATCATCACTTTTCCATCCTGAAAGTAATTAGTTTTTCCCTAATAATCAAAACATGTTTAAGATTTAAGATGCCCATCAGATAAGAACAGTTAATTGCACAGTGTAGCACAGCATTTCAGAGTCAAATTAAACAAAGGTTTCAGTAATATTAAAGACTCTCTCTCATCACCTCCAAAAATCAGGCAGCTATAGTTTGATGTGTGTTGCATGAAACTGAGAATAATGAGCAGAGAAAGAAGGTGATACTAAGCCACTGTTTCTGAATCTTGGCTACTTTAAGATGTGTGGAATTCAATTCCCAGAATTCTGGAAGTTGAAGGCCACAGTTGAAAAACTCTGTATTCTATACTAAACTTTGTCATATGTTTACTGTTAGGTTTTGGATTTTTAAGTGCTTGTACTATAGTGAGACAGTAGCTTTTGAGTTTCATTGCTCTCTTTTTTATTTTTCACAGTTTTTGTATTTTTAATGCAATGAGTAATTTGGTCATCAAGCCAGATAATTTCATCTATTGGCTAGTTCAAAGGTACAATAAAGAACAAAAAGGAGACTTGCATATGCATGCTTAGCAGTCCTTCCTTATAGTACTTTCATCTGACTTCGACACAAATGTGTCCTGGCAACCTCTTTTTTTTTTCCCCCAGTTCTGATATTATCTTTATCTGATTGCCAGCAGACTTACATCATCCTTAGCTACATCAGTTTTTAAGAAATATTATCCCCCCTTTTTTATATATTGATTTGTTTGAAAAATTTATATGGCCAACCATCTTAAGGAATAGTCAGTGGCTCACAATAACAATAAAATCAATAAATAAACAATCATAATACAGAAAAAAGTGTGAAACAATAAAAAATAGCAGTGTCTTAATTGTCCCCTTGAGATATCTCACAACATACTCGCTCCTCCTTCCATACTTTCTACCTATTCAACCCTATCCTAATACTTCAGTAACAAGGCAGGTTTTAATGTCCTTGTGAAAGGCTAGAAGGATGGGGACTTGTCAAATTGCTGATGAGAGGGTGTTTTATAGAGAAGTTACACATCTAAAGTCCCACTAGGGAATGTTCCCACCCTATCTATTGTAGTGGGATAGGTGGCTATTATTAGGGAGAGGCTGTCCTACAAACAACCAGGTCTCATGCCATGTAGGATTTTAAAGATGATAACCAGCAACTTGAATTTACCCTGAAGAAAACTGGGAGCCAGATCAGCTCACATAATGAAAGTATAACATTGGCAAACCATGGACACCCAATACTGTGTGCTCTGCTACATTCTGAACCAGTTATAACTTCCAAATGGTCATCAAGGGCAGCCCCTTGTAAAGTGCATTGCAATAATCTAGCTGGGAGGTAACAAAACAGTGAATGACTGTGAGCAAGACCTCCAGGTCCAGGAAAGAATGCAATTGGTGCACAAGACGAATCTGTGCAACAGCCTTCCTAACCCTTATCCCAAGTTTTGTCAAGGATAAAATTTGACATGTTTAACCAACCATTCTGGTTAATGGTGACGTCCAGGGGTTGGGATCATCCCACTACCCATTGGATCCTTAAAACTTTGGTAGGCATGTCTCTTTCCCTCTAGTTCTTAAGCACTATCTTCTTGGGCCATTTGGTTTGGGCAGTGGGAACATCCTGCTCTTAAAACTGGACTGTTCTTTCCAGGCTTATCAGATCTCTAAACCAAATCCTGATTCCATGAACTCATCAGCCTGATCAGCAGTTAAGCAATGGTGGTGGTAAGGTAATTGCAAGCTAAAACAACCAAGTAATTGCTTTCTTTCTTATTGTGTTTCCCAGCTGTGAAACAGAAGGACTCCATCTATCAGCTTTGAACACTCCCAAACATGTCAAATACTTGTGCAAATCAGAACAAGTTTTGACAGATGGCTAAACCTGCTAATCTAGCCATCTATCAAAACTAACCTCCATCATCATCATCTTCGCCATCCCACGTGAAAGAGAAGGATTGGTGGGTGTGTTTTGAGATGGCTGATGACACTTTGTGGGAGGGAAACAAAAGTGTTTATAACACTGTCAATAAAGATAGCACTATGTCCCAGCATCCTAGCTGCAGCAAGGTGGGAATCACCACCAACTTTCTGCTAGTTCAAGGATATTGGATTGCTCTTTAATTCATTCATGAGAAGAAGATGAAAGCCCAGGACTCAGTAAAATAACTTATTTGCAGCCTATTTGTGTTTTAATAAAATAGTCTTAAGTTAATTTTGACAGGGAGGGAGGTGGAAAAGAAAAACATGGCTTTCCTTTGCTTTGTAAATTGGACATAATGTTCCCACTTCTTCAATGATTGAGACATATTTGGGTTTAATCAAATGTCTAGTTGATCCTTATTCATTCTTATTGTGTACAAACATTTCTCTTGATTTAATTTTCATCCTGCTGCATGGAGTGAAAAATTGTTCTGTCTTATTATTGTTTTAAACATCTGAAAATATTAACCTGTCCTATCTTAATTAGATCCCCTTAAGCTAAAAACACACCCAGCTCCTATGGTTGGGTGTCACCCAAACTTTCTTTACAGTGTCATCTAAATATTTTCTAGGGCAAGATAACCTGATTTGTGTTGGTGCTAATGAAGATATTACTCAACTTTGGATTTTGGGTTTTTTCTCCCTCATGGACCAATACATCTGTATTTCTTAAATATATTATTTAGGTGAGAGCTTTGTAGAACAACAAATTTACAAAGCAGCTATTATTAAAATATTAAAAACTGGGTTACTGGTGTCAAGGTTCTGATAGATGAGACCAAACAAATCAGAATTCCGAGGTCAGAGATTTCCTCAACATGTTTATTGGCTACATAGTATTGGCACGGTCAAAAGTGAAACCAAGTCTGAAATCCCCTCCAAAGAGAAACTATTACAAAGTTAAACTTCCCACCCCAGTGCTATGCAATCAGGTACATTTCCCAATATAATAGTTTGCTCACACGCTCCACCTAACCGACAGAAATTACCTTGGTTCCCACAGGATAGTGAAATGTTTAGACTAGCAGAAATCTTTTTTTTTATTGAAAAAGTTTTATTGACAATTAACAAAAAAAAATTTAAACCCACAAACCCACCCACCCCCAACCCCCTATTCCCCTCCACTTCCCAGAGCCGAGTACAGGGTTATTACAAACATATTAAACAAAATCTAATTAAATTTAACAAATTATACAATAACTAAATTCATACTTAACCCTTAACTCCCTTTAAACCTTAATATCATAATATTATAAACAAATCCATTTTAAAACAATTATTATAAAGAACCATAATAACAGTAAATAAACTAAATAATTTCCATTATAAAATGCTATTAATAATAATTATTATTTAAAATATAATCATAAAATAAATGGAACTTTTTAGTTCCATATTTAATCTGAATATAATCTATCCACCTTCTCCATACCGTAATATATCTTTCTTGTGTATGATCCTTTAAATAAGCAGAAATTTTAGCCATTTCTGCTAAATTAGAAACCTTAAGTGTCCATTCTTCTATAGTAGGCAACGAATCTTTCTTCCAATATTGACCTACCAATAGCCTTGCTGCTGTTACTAAATTCAACATTAAAATAGTTTCTTTAACATCAAAATCCTCAAAAATCCCTAGTAAAAAGGGAGTAAACTTTATCTTCCTTTTAAAAATCTTTTGAATGTTCCACCAAATCATAATCCAAAAAGCCTTAATATTTTTACAAGTCCACCAAATATGAAAATAAGTTGCGTCAGAACTACCGCATCTCCAACATTTAGGCTGTAAATTAGGATACATACAAGACAACTTTTTAGGATCCAAATGCCACCT